TAATACAAAATACATAACTTACCCTTCAAGTAAGAACTAGAGTCCAAAACTCCATGTCTTCCTGACTATTCAGGAAATAATATTCTAAGGAAAGGAAATAATTGCTTTGGACAAACTACTGCAACAGGTTGGACAAGCTATTGCCATCAAAATGTCTTTTAAAGCAAATAAATAGAAGACTGGGACATCTGGGAACAAAGGACTTAGACCTACCGTATGAGAAATTCTGTTCTGTGAGCTAGTTTTGTGGCACACTTATCTGTCACACAGACAAAAATAATCCTGGAACCTAGACCTCTCAGTGTTCTGCCTGAAAGCATGGGTGGGATTATAAAGGAATGTAATTATCTGAGAAAAGTAGCTTGGTTAAGAACACTGAGAAAAAGTCTTTCATTACAGAGACTGCCAGAACCACATTTTCTGTTCAGCAGGATCCTGAAAGTTAGGAGGAAATTTCATATCCATACATGCTGTGGGAGATGACACCAACCCACAGATGCTGAAGATGAGCAAATATTTATTCACCAGACTGTAGGACAGAGCTGGGCAGAGGCCTGACGGTCAGCTTATGGTTGATGGTGATAAGCCTCTGTCACTCCACTCACCTTATCTACCAGAAATCACTCACGGCCTAGCACTCACGTCAAGAGCCTGAGCAGCCACTGGAAGTACCCATGAAGGGGAAGCTAAAATAACCTGTGAATGAAGTAAAACCAGCACTAGCGGGTAAGGTATCCAAACAAGGTACCAGAAAGGGCTCCAGTACGTACAGGGGAAAAAATCTCTGGAAGGACAACAGCAGTCTTGCTTCTCTTTTTTGTAAAGTCATGCTTGTTCTCTTGAGACCAGTTGAAGCCAACCCTCGTTGCTTATCAAAAAGCACCATGCATAAAATGGGTATATAGTTGGGAAATTGAAGAGCCTCCTGGGAGCTCCCTCTCAGCTCGCCCGAGACCCTCCCACCACGCTGGACATGTCCCTTGATGTGTCATAACAGAAGCCCGCGGAGCAGAAGGGATGTTGACAGGTCGTATCGCCTTCCCTATGCATGCATTATTTATTATCTCTGCAACAATTAAAACAAGCTTGTGTACGGACTTTTGTCTACTTAATAAACTGTCAGCAATAAACATCCACCTGAGTCCAGCTCCAATGCAGTGGTTGCAAGCGGTGCTTTTAAGACTTTATCCATTTTTTCATCCTGCTCCCTAAACACACACGCTGGCTAATCCTTCTTCCTCTTTGGATTAATGATCACCCAAAACTAGGTGCCCAGCCAGGTATGAGAAGATTGGAAGAAACTAGATTTCATATGCTGCCATAAGAGGCATTCCCTTCCACCTCTAATTTCACGTTAGCCACATCAAACTAGGGGAAAGATATTCACTTCTATTCTATCAACTGAATTTTAGAATCACCACTTAGATTGCTTGACACAGACAATCACTGCAACCTGAGCTGGCAGTTCTGAACTGTAGCTAAATGCCTAAAAAGGGAGAATGAGAAAGGAGGTGTTATGTACAAATAAGAAATTACTTTGCTTCTATATACAGCATTTAGAAATTTTCTACATTAATATATTCTCTATTCTCATAGGTTTTGAAAAAATGGAGACAGTTCCTAGGACAGCTGTCAGAAAACCAGTCTTACAGTGTGAGCCTTGAGTACAACATATCCAATTTACCAGAACAGAAGTTAAAAGGTGCCTTGACTACTATACATAAATTTTTAGTAGTCATAGGGGTGTTAAAATTGTGATGATCTAAAGATATGGAAGATGCAAGGTTTGCAGATCAAGGCAATATTTTCATTAGGCCAGGTGGCAGAGCCAGAAAAGGTGCACAAGCTTCTGTGTGCATAGGCTTTTCAACAGGTCACTGCAAATAATCAGTTTTTCATAGACACTTGTTCAGAAAACATACCTGAAAAATGGAGACTTTTCAGTCTTACTGACAAAGGCATAGCAAAAGGAAGACTGGCAGCTGAAATTAGACAAATTCAACCTTTCCACAACATTGCAATTTCCTAGCACTAAGGGTAATTAAATATTGGAACGGCTTACCAGGGGAGCTGGTGGACTCGCCATTGCTTGGAGCTTTAGGACGAGATTAGATATCATTGTAAAAGAGATGCTTTAATCCAGCTTCTGGAAGATCTCAACATGCCCATAACACTTGCAGCTCTGCATTAAGACAATGACTATAATCAAATCTCATACTTTAGGGTTTCAGCTGATCAACTGCAAGGGTTATAAAGAATTTCTTTTTCCTTTCACATAAAAAAACAGACAGATACTTTGGTGTGGTTTATATTTGGATCTGTCTCTGAAGTAGCAAAGATTGCCCACATCTACAGAAAACACAGCAGGAGCTGATGCAGTGGCCAGTGGTGATAGGGAAAGTACTTTTTCTTAGCCTGAAATTCACCAAGCAGTCATACCTTAATGTGAGCTCACATGAATTTGAAGGCATCTGGATGCAAAACACTTCTGACCTAGGAACTGCTTGACTAGGTCAGTGCTGAGCCAGGTTTGATTTGTCTGCCCGGCAAAGGGCCTGGCATTAGCACCCACTCAGCACTGCACTAACACAGCTATGTGACTTTTTGGGAGGAGTCATTTCAGGCTCTGCTGCTGCAGAGCACTGGCCAAGGGTCAAATGAAGAACTATTGGATCACCATACCCTTAGAGGTCTTGTTAATGAATCTTGCTAGATTAGTCCAAAGAGAGTACTTTCCCCAAGGTAAGATAAATAGAATTCTCAATTGAGTTTGTTTTGTGTTTGTTCAGTGTGAGATTCATTTCACCTGTTAATACACTAAGATCATCTGGACATATCTAATTAACTAATTGCTATTGAAGAAGCATAAGTAACACCTTGACCTTTTCTGTCTCCTGAAAATTAACATGCTTTAGCCTACCTAGAGTTATCACGTTTACACACAGGTACCAGGATGGATTCAGTGTTCTGTATTTTCCAGTATAACTAGATACATAAGCATCCCTTTTGCTGTTTAATTTAGCTACATCTTTAACTACAATCTACACTATTTTAGCCGAATACTGTCATGACTTAATTATTAAATGCAAGTAAAGCTGAAGACAAGACAGGACATTCTGCTGCTTTTACAGTTTTGTGTAAAAGAGTATGTCTCAACTCTGTCAAATAAAACATAAAATAAGCAATGGTTCATCTAGCAATTTCTGTGGGCTGCACAGTGGCATGTCCATACTATTGAGTCTCCAAATAAAGATCTATATAAGTCAAGTCCACATTTCTAGGCTTTAATTCTTCTCAGCTACCTATACTATTATCCTACATCCCTTTGACAGTGAGTTAGATTCAAAGATATTTCTGTCTGTGCTAAATGACGGGCCGTTTGATAGAGTTGTGCACAGCTGCACTTGCCATGTAACACAGGCATATAATTCACCTGCTCTACAGTTCAGGACATTTTCCATGCACAATAAGGATAATTTCTTTTTACCATAATTCTGAAGCACACATATTAATATAAAGCTCTGTTGTCAGTATTGGTCATTATTATTATGTTAAGATTGTCATATTTCAAAGTAAGACTGGGACACACCATGATAGTACTATCAAGTAACACAAAATATTGATGTAAAAACAAAAGCAGACTCAATTTTTAAAAAGGACAGAAAAAAATACATTGATACTGCTTGTCTATCTCTCTTGTTGATACATGCATATATATTTGACAGCAATTGTGATCATATTTACAAGATGGCCCTATTAAGCAGTACGTTATTCCATGAGTATCCTTACTCAAATCAAACCAGACTTCTCAGAACACAACATTGAGTACAAATAGGTATGACAGACTCTGTACCCTGCTCTGCTCCATACTGCACACAAATTTCATGATAATGAATTTCTTATCTTTTTTGATCATTTGTTCTATCAAGATTCTTATAGCATACCTAATGCCCACGATGCAAGAATGCTTGGAAAACCTCACATAAATCTACTGTCCCATAATTTTTGAACAATACTCTTTTAAACAAAAAACTGAAGGAGGAATATTATATTATGCAATAGACACATTAGAAGCCAATTACATAATGAAGTCTAATATTGTTCTAATGATAAATATAATTAAAAATTTTGACTAAATCTCTTTGGAATACAAAAATTATGCCTTAGCTTTCACAACCTGTTCATCTGAAAGATTACTCAAGAGAATTTTGAGTACAGGAAGCATCTGCACATTTTCAGCAGAGATTTACCTTATCTCACAGTGTGTTCATTTATATTCCTCCTGTGCCAAAATTTTTACTAGAGTAACACAGAAGTTCATGTGATCACCGAGCATCAAATTCTCTGCTCTCGTATTTCTGCTAAAAAATTCCCAACTCAAAATGTTTGAATTGTTAAGTACAAGATTTTAAAATTTTTAATTTAGTGGACTGTTCTTAAAGTTTTTCCACACAACATAAAAAAATGGATGTTTACAGTAGCATCCAGAGAATTAGCATAATTTTGTTCTTATCTTTTATTGATTCTCTACTGAAAATGATGTTCTTACTGTTCAAAATCTTTTCCCTATACATTTCTAGTAAAAGAACTGGAAACTCAATCTTGTATTTGTTGAATCTTAATTTTCCTTAACCACTACCAAGTGGGTTTTTTTCTTCCTTAGAGAACCACATGCAAGTTTGAATTAACTTAAAATATTTTCATTACAATTTGGTATTTTGGATTAATGCTTCTCCCCCCTCGGTTTGTTTAATATTAAAGATACTATAGTTAACATTTAAAGCATATTTTCAATTCTATTCTGTAAACTAGTGCATGTAATAGTTACCTCTTCTTCATTTATCTGAAATTTAAAAAACCCTAACAATACAATTTTGACATGTAACAAAATACTGTCAGAAGAACACCAATTAAATTTTAACATCCCTGCCCCCCACCCCCTCAATAAATTCAATATAAAACAAACAAATAATATAATCTAATCTAACTGTCCACTTTACCTGGAAATGCATGCCCTGTTAGAGAATCCAAATCTGAAATTAAAACAGTGAAAAAAAAATCTTTAACACTAATTTAATATTAGAAAAACAAAAAAAACCAAAAAATCAAAACCAAACCTGGCACCAAATACCACATTATCATCAACATCAAATTTTAATCATATATATATATATATGGAAAATAAAAATAGAACACTTAGTATTACATTTTGGAGTTTTTCTTCTCCATAGTTTTGTAAAGATATAAAACAGGATCTAGAGATTAAAATCTTAAACACTATGAGAAGCTAATTTACAGTTTAAGAGAGAAATACCACAATTAAATAGGAATTTTACTATTTTTTTAAATGAACCTCTGTTTTCAGAAGCTTATATCTTGAGTATAAGCATTTGTTCTGAGGTTGTACATAAGAACAATAATTAGAAATTTGCAGAATGCTTTTTTAGATTATATAATTTAAGAAAGATTTTCTTGATCATAACAAATAACAGACCTAAGTTGTCTATTCTAGTGTTCATTCTTTCATTTTTTTTTTCAAAAATTATCTGTTTTAAAAAAGAGAAGAGAGCTGGAATTATTCTTGCTGACACCGAAAAGTATAAATTAGGGTTTCACTGGTTGACTCTCATCTGAACAGAGAACAGGAAAGCACATCAGTGGCCCTGGTGGTACCAGAATGAACCCTCCCCAACTTGCACTGGGACCAGAATTCAGAATTTCTTTGAAGTACTTTGCTCCATCTTTAGAAATTCCATGTTCTTAACAGAGACATATTTAGTAACTTTGAGCAGTTATACTCAGAGATTCGCTTGTAAATCCATAGACACAACTAAAAGACTAGTTAGCTCTGAAAAAGTATGGTCACAATATCAGCTAGGGCTGTTATTGCAGTACCAAGGTGTCAGGCTAATTCTGAAACAAACATGGCCAAAAAAACCGCCTTTGTAGGTAATGTTCCGTCATGCAAGACAGTGATGTGAGCATGTTTGAAAAACAAGGCCGGTTGCTAGGAGCAGTCTACCAGTTCCCCGTTAGCTCACCAAGACAGCATGTGCGACCCTCAGGCTGTCCTCCTTCTCATCACCTGACAAGTGGGAGGGGAGAGGGATGCAGGAGCTACATTCTCGTGGAAAAGCACAACAGGCAGATTGTGGTTGACTGTTTTACCCTAATATGTGTCCACATGAGTTCACTTGGCATTTATAGGAATCGAATGTATTTATTAGTAGTGCCTGGAAAAAGGTAGTTGGGCAATCTAGGCACTTCACTAGAAACTTCTAGTACCATTTTTAAACTACTTCATCTTAAAAAGGATTTTGTTACCTGATTGCAATAATCAACAGATACAAGATTCTAGGTGAATGGTTTAGGCCACAGAAACCCTGAACTTGTAATACCATAACTGATTCAGAAAATTATTGGGAAAATATTTACCAGTTAACCTCTGGATATACAACTTCTACTACTGGAAGACAGGAGGAAAGTGTGCTTGGCTTTAATAATTAAATATTTGTTTAAATGAGGTAAATTTCCTGAGGACTGAGAACATGGTTAATGTTGTAAGTGAACACGGGAGAAAAACTCCTCAAAATGCGAAAAATGTACTGGAGAGAATTGCTTTCTGCAATTCAAGATAGTGAACACAATCCATTACCTGACACTTCCAGTCTGTGGGGTCTCAAGCTTTATCATATAAAGCTTTATCATAAACTAAAGAATAGAGAAAAACTAATCTCGACATTTTTCTTTCCAGAGCCTGAGATATAAAAGAATGTTGTTGCCCCCTAGCTGCCCCCAAAACCCCCCAGAAAAACCATATTACGCATAAATGGAGTATCTAGATATGCAGTGACTGCTCTCTGAAAGCACAGAGAATGATTTCAGCCATGATGCAGATCTGAATCATTGCCCAGACTACTGTCACTGTGCACATACTATGGCTACATATCCTGCCACAGCAATAATGTGTTTGAAAACATCTTTTCTATGTCATTTTATTGATGAAAGTATCTTGATGCAAACCCTTAAAATCCAAGAAAAAGAACAGAAGAAAAAAATAAAGTCTTTTTCCTATAGCAGTGATACAAAATCTACTCAGACACAGGACTTTAAAAGAAAAAAAAAAACAAAACAAAACAGCAAACCAAACCAAACAAGTGGGATTTGTTTCTTAAAAACGCATGTACACATTGTGGCTTGCAGCAGAAATAATTGTAAAATGGTAGTCTGAAACTAATGCAGATAACTTAATGCAAATTAATTAGCACTTATCCCAGCATAAAACAGTGATACTTTGTAATACTCCATGCTAAGCTAATGTATGTAAATTGTGGATGTGTTTATTTTCTTACAAGTTGACCCATACTAACTGAAAACAAGGTAGTTTTTCACCCGAGCACATGTGTCCTGTGTGAACTGTTAAATAAAATCAGACCGAATTTGTTAGCTGAAACCAGAGGAGTTTATGGTATATTGAACCCACAAATCATGATCCACATGCCCCAATTCCATCCCTACATTTCACAAAGAATGATATGAGCTGACACTGCATAGGCAGGCAATGTAAAGTTTCCGATATAAAGATAAATACAGTGGGCAGCATTTCCCTGCTAGACTTCAGTACACGCAATTACTGCAGTTATAATGGAATGAAACCTTTGCTGTGACTGAAACAACTGAAGTATTCAGTCTCTGCCATAAGATTTCTTCTACTCTTCTATGGACTCTATGGGCAGGAGAAAAATCAACGTTTCCCGTTATTGTTCCGAAGAGATTGCAGTTTCTTGGACTGATTTTCACTTAAGTAAGCCTGGCCAGTTGGAATCCAATTTTCCTCTATTCCATTTATTTAATGAATCGCCCTGATTTGGCACCATTCACTTTTATTTTCATAAATAAGACTTTCTAAACAAAGAGAAGGAATATGAGATGAAAGTGGAGTAGATACGAATGAAACACATTTCCATCTCCTTTTTAAGGCAAAATAGCTAGTATGTCCACAGTAGCAATTAGCAAGGAATTATATTCATGCAATCCATACCTGATTCATACTGTAAGTTATTGATTTAAGCAGTAAAACCAGTGATTTCATGATAAAGCTGACTTCCAGTTATACTGCATAGCAAGATTTTTAAAAAGGGAAAGAGGATGCACTTCTCAGCAGTCAGTGTCTTTGGTACGCCACATTCATTTCATTAGCTCAGCGCAAAACAGACGTTGGAGACGGTACAAGCTTTTCATGTCAATAAATTCATTGTTTTTTCCTAGCACTGACTAGCAAAGATAGAGTCATGTCTATATCTTACCTCCAAGGCCCCATTCCTCCTATTTAAAACTAGTGCACACTGAACAATCCAGCACACAAGCTTTGACTTCCACTCACATGGTACTCCTAGTGCTGTGCTTACAGTAAAATATCAAAGCATAGTATAGCTGCCACTGACATGCACTGGTAGAGTACCAGTGCCAAAGAAATGGAAGGGATGACTTTTACAGTGCATGGGAAAATGTATTTAAGGTGCAGAGCGCATTTAAGTCATTTAACGTAAAGGGCTCTCCATGACACTGTCAGTGAGATGATGAAATACCAACCCATCTCTAGGAGCTGATACCTGCTTAGAAAGGTTAGGAGAAGCTAAATGAATGCCAAATCATGCTCTTTTGAAAATACAAGATTTCTTCCTGCTTCTAAGTGTTTAATAGATATTGTCAACAGGAAATGAGTGTCTCTGCTTTGCTAAACTTCCACAGTTAGACTCGATCTTATTTCACTAAAAGTCCATAACTGGGCAGCAGAACTCCAGAGCCATTGTGGATGTGTACAAGAGCTGAAGCATGAATTCTGCAAAGCTCCTGTCTTCTTTAAACAAGAGAGGAGTGAGCTCCAGCCCCTCACAAAACTGGGAATATGAAAAGAGAGGAAAAAAAAAAAAAAAAAGGCTGGTCACAAAGAAGAAAGTGAAGAGCTGACATATAACTGCAGTGGCTGAAGATGTGAGATGGCTTGCGTTAACTAGAAGTTATGACTGCACTTTTGACAATCAGGTCAGTGAAAACTATTGGCCTATTTCTCCTAGGATTGGATCTGGATTGTGAGTACCAGATCAACCCCTAGATTTGGGGGTTGATTTGGTACTACCCAAACGTAAAGCCAGAGGCTAAACTAGAATCAGGTAAGCAGTACTTTGCATTAGCCTCTAGAGGGGGAAAGTTACCTTCAGTTCCGAAATGATGTGCACTAAGATGTTTTTGTAGTAGAGGCAACTTTTACACAGTCCTGTTGCCTAGACTTGGGTTTGCACTATTTATCATTATTCTGCCACTGTTCCCCTAACCTACTGCAGTAAAACTGTTTTTAGGCTTTTTCTTGTTTTCATCGATATATTACTGCATTCATTTGCCATCAATCCTGTTAACAGCACAATTATCATTTTAATGGGGATGTAAACCTTTTCTGTGAGAATTTCCCCAATGAGAAGAAAAAAGAGTTAGTATAAAGGTTGCACTCAAGAATTCATTATAGTACAATCACCATCTTACAAACCCACTGCTCACTTGCAATGGTTACTGGAACTCATTTTTACTCTTGAAGATAGTTCAAAGAAAAGGAAAGCTGAACAGTTAGTTGTGAAAATTTAACAATATGACATTACAAAGCCTATTTATTTCCCTGATTCATCTTGATACCATCAATCTGTTGACAAAAAATTGCATCATATCAAGACAGGTAGACCACATCTACAGTGTTGTTCAGGGTTTCATTTTGCCAGCTTTCTTTCCTCTCCTGTGATACCATTAAGAGTGGGATTCAAATTTACTTTTCTTCAGTAGAGGTGTCTTCATGTGAGCAAAGGTGTCTGAACTTCTATTAGCTCCAATGGAGAAGTAGCTGAAATTGAGTTAATTAATTACAACGAAAAGTAGAAGTCAAACTTGTTCAAAAGAATAGTTAGAAGAGCATTTTCCATTGACAAGATCTCTAATAACTATAGTGGGAGCTTAGCTAACCTACATAACCTATAGTGCAGGTATT